ATGCACTTGTTTTCCTTAAGACGAGAGAAAAAAATATTTCTTATATCATGTGCTATTAATCTAATAAAGAAGATTTCAGGTCTAGTCTTAAAAGACTGCGTATTCCCATGTACCATGGAGAGATTAAGTACCTGGCAACTTATGATCCACTCTGATATTTCTCAAATGTATTACCAACATTCCTAATGTTAAGACGCTGCCAAACAATATTCATTGAATCAGCACCCTCATTTCAGCTATGTCAGCATACATCAACCTCAGATGAACCTCATATAAACAAGTAGACTTACATTTTTTTAATAAAATATCAACCATTTAAAATAATAGATAAAGTCTGGGAGAACTTAAGCATTCAAAAAGACTAATGACTCTGATTTTCCTCATTAGTGGTGTAGCTTTTGCATTTGGATACTTGGGGATGTTCCTTATTCCTACAAATGGATATTTTTTTAAATCTTGAATTCTTGGCTCTATGACACCTTGTGGCAATTAGTTCTACTGATTAACTGTGACTTGTGTACAAAAAGCATTTTCCTTTCCTCAAGTTTGCCTAATAATTTCACTGAATGTCCTGAGACAGGGAGGAATCCTTGACCTATATCTTCCCTATACCATTCATTACTTTGTATGGCTATGCTATGCCCCTTCCTTCCCATCTTCTGTCTAATTTAAACAGTCTCAGTCATTTCAATCTTTCTTCATATTCAGGTTTTTGCAAACCTACCATTATATTTGTCCCACATTTTAGATGCATTTCTAGAGCCGTATTTCTGTAATTAATTTTTAAATGGGATAAAAAAGCAACATTTAGTACTTATACTCTTGACTGGCCACAGTTAATGAAGAACTATGCAATGGATAGGAGTAGTTCAAATGATTCCTTCAGTGTACATTACCTTACATTTGTCAGTATTTAATTTCATCCATTATTATGCTGCTCCCTTACTTAACCTTGTTATTAAGGACAATTTATAGAATGGGACACATGAGTACAGGTTCAGTTCCCATCTCTTTCACAAACTTCCTATATAGCCTTTTGAAAATCCCTTTTTCTCTGTACCAATGATTCTGCAATAGGATTCCTGAGCCCATCTGTGTGGTAAACATCTCATTTGTATCTTTGGTACTGGCTATCTGTGCTTCCAAATGTGCTTCTTTTCTAGCTTTTTTCATTTCCAGGTGACATTTACAAAATAAATTTATCTTCCTTTTCTAAGCTTCACCTACACTGGATTTCCTTTGCTGCTTAACCATGCTTCCCTTTCTTTTCCCTCACTTCCCCTGCTTCCTTTTGTGTATACCCACATTCTACAATTCTTATAGCTGCTTAAATAATTTCCATGTTCCAATTTAGGATTTTAATGTATTTTAGGTTGACTATAAATTTTTTTTATATACGCTCTTCTTTAAAAACCCAACAACACTGCCTTACAGTTCAATGTCCCTGTGTTAGGTTTTAGCACAAAGGAAATCTTTCCTTTGAGGATGTTGGATTTAATTATATTCAAGTAATTATTCCCGAGGGGCTCAGCTTTAGTGGCTTCTTGAATTACCTACACTCTGCTAGAGATGATTTTTTTGTCATTATTTTTAGGGAAAGAATACTAAGATTTAATACAGGCCATATTTAAAGATATAGGTTACACAAGGCTAAGGGCCTATTCCTGTATCCATCATAGTCAAAAGGATTTTTTTTCTCTTCTGAATTCTACAAAAAGCAGTATTGGGACCAGAATCTTCTGACACTAGACTGTCAATTCAAATTTTAAGCCTTACACTATTTTGCAGTGTCTATTAAAAACTGACTTTAGAAGGATGAAGGAAGAAGAGCTAGATAAATCCTACAGGTGCTGATAAAACCAGGGCAAGATGGGAAAATATATTTGTTTTCTCCTTGTGTCATCACTGTATACTTTGTCTTGTGCCACTGGGTACTAGAATAGGGAGGCAAAATGGCTAAATCATTAGTAATTGGCATTCTGCAAGCCTCTCCCTCCATTTCATATATACCTCCTAAGTTAATATGATCCAGGTTACCAAGCTTAGACCTAAATATACCTCCATCTTCCACAAGCCTAGAAATAAGTCATACATCAAGTGGAGCTTTCTCTCCAGATGCCTCTTCTGCAAGGATTTTAGTGGCAAGACTTGCAACTTCCTCCAGGAATGGGTAACCAGTCAGCCCAGTCTCCCTGGGAAAAGAAATGGAACCCCTCGGGAGGATATACTCTATTGTCTCAGCATCAATTTCTGAACAGTCTTGAAAGTCACCTTTCAGGGAAGTCTATGGTCTCTGTGTTGTTACTGCATCTTGAAGGGTTCTTGAGGGGCCTCATTGTGGCACCTTGATTCATGTATTGACTTATCTGAGTCAATGGCATCTTGGCTGCCAGCAGGCTTGAGAATTTTAAAGAACCCTGAATAAACCCTTGCCTAAAAAGTCTAGGATACATTTTGATCTGTAACACAGGCACATGCCACAGGTGACAAGCAAAGAAAAAGGCATAAAAGGCACCATGTTGGGTTCTCTTTTGTGCCCAACCTAAAGCTTTCTGCAACACTTTCCAGATTTCTGATGTCAGCAATACGGAGAAACAAAGAGTAACTTGAATGGGACAATTCATGTGAATAATGGTCCCAAAACTGAACCCTCAAACTGTCCTGCCTTCTTCCCTGGCATTGCCTGCTATTGTCATTTTATCCCCACAGTATCTTTGTCCTCTAAAATGGAAACTATTTGTTCCTTTAAGTCACTGACTCATAAAAGTGTTGAAACAGGTCATGGGAAGGCTCTCTTCTTCCTGCAGAATTCCTCATTCCTTTCCAGACATGCCAAGTTTCTTCCAGTGTTAATTTTTGTGGTCGCCTACCCCTTGTTTCCATCTTTTCCACACACTAACATTTTGAGGCCTGGATAGTTGTGAAGATCTACATGCATGTGCCCTACTAGCACTACAGAGGACAGCAAAGGTTTCACTTCCTTAAATAGAAGATGGATAGGTTTCTAACAAGGGTTGGAAGAGACCTCAGGAGCCCATCTAGACCAACAACCTGCTCAAAGCAGGACCACCCCCAACTATATTATCCCACCCAAAGCTTTGCCTAGCAGGGTCTTAAAAAATTCTAAGGATGGAGAATCACAACCTCTTCGGGTAACCTGTTCCAGTGCTTCACTACCCTCCTAATAATGAGAAAGCTTTTCCTAGTATCTAACTTCAACTTTCCTTTCCGCAACTTGAGATCATTTCTCCTTGTCCTGTCATCTGCCACCACTGAGAATAGCCTAGCTCTACCCTTTGTAACCCCCCTTCAGGTAGTTGAAGGCTGTTATTAAACCCCCTCTCAGTCTTCTCTTCTCCAGACTGAATAAGCCCAGTTCCCTTAGCCTCTCCTCATAAGTCATGTTCCCCACACCTCAAACCATTTTTGTCATCCTCTGCTAGACTCTTTCCAATTTGCCCATATCCTTTCTGTAGTGGGGGGAGGGAGGGGCAATTTGGTTCTTCTTTGCATAGTGCCAAAAAATAACAGGGCTAGCAACACCCTCAGAAGGTTGTCTATGTCTGTAGTGCTCAACCTTTTCGCCCATTAGGCCAGTGAGGCAGTGCCCAGTCCATCCGTGGACCCAATGCGATGTCTGGGGTGGGCTTGACGGAGCTGCATCTAGCCATGCAGAAGAGGATGTGGGGGAGTCCAGCCCCAACCCAGCTCCATAGTTTGGGAAGAAGGCTTGACCCAACCTTGCAGAGAGAAGCAGGCACACCCACGGGACTTGGTGTTTGGGAACCTAGCAGTAATGGAGGGTGGCCGTATTAACTGCCACCACACCCCTGCCACAAAAGATCCCACCTGATGGGGAGTCCTACGGGCTGGATACCATGGCTGCGTAGGCCCAGTTTGGCCTGTGGGCTGGACATTGACCACCTCTGCTCTGCTGGCACCATGCTTAAGGCAGGAACAGCCCAGCCCAAGCCCTCCCAGACAGACACTTAAGCCCTTCCAGTCCTGACATCCCCAACCCAGCGCCAGTTAAGACAGAACCAAAAGCCTCAGTAAAAATGCAGGGTAAATCCAACCAGGAGGCAGGAGAGAGCGCTCTCATGCTCACTAACACCCTCACATCCACACACTCATGTTCACTAACACACACTCACATTCACACTCGCACACACACACTCAGTCACACTTACACACACTTGTATTCACACTTTCACACACACATGCTCACTAACACTCATTCACACACACGCTCACGTTCACACTTACATGCACACACATGCTCACTAACACATTCACACACAGTCACACTTACACTCATGCACACCCATTCACACACTCATGCTCACTAACACACTCTGATTCAGTCACACACACACTCATGCTCACTAACACACACACACACATCCACACTCAGTCTCTCGCACATACACACACTTACAGTCACACTCATGCCCACTCGCATTCCCACTCACACACACGTGATTCTCTCTCGTGTGGGGGGCAAGGGGGAAGCCCCCAGCAGCACGGCGGGGTGTGTGTGAGAGAGCTGTGCCCCCTTTCACCGCCTTGTCTCTCTTGCCCGCCCAAGCCCTGAAGGCAGCGATGAGGGACACCCCGCGGGGCCGCTGCGAGCTGCGCCCTCTGCCCGCGGGCAGGCAGGGAGCTCCTGCCCCTGCCCCGCAGGCGATGGCAGCTCCCCCGCGCGAAATCCACCCCCCGCCCCACTTGCCTGTGACTCGCGGTCTCCCGGGCGCCGCTGCAGAGAGGCGCGGGGCGGCGGAGCGGACACACGTGCGAGCGGAGCGCGTGTGTGGCGGGGCGGGGCGGGGAGCGCCCAGCCCAGCCGCTGCCTGTGGAGGAGGTGGGGGCCGGGGGTGTCCTGGCCTCGCTCTCCCGCTCCCCCTCCCCAGACGCCGGCTCCCGCCCTCGCCCAGTCTGGCAGCCCGAGCCGGGTCCCCGGGGCCAGACGGCCTCTCCCGCGCCTCCGCCTCTGCCGGCTGTTCCCCGGCGGGCTGTGCTGGGCTGCGCAGGAGGGACCCGGCGGCAGGATCCCGGGGATCTCCCGGGGAAGAGCTCCGGCACCCCGCCTCGGAGACCCGGGGAGGTTTGCAGCCAGCTCTTCCTCCTGGGAAGACAGAGGAGCACATCATATCTGGCCAGGAATTGGCTTTTTCTCTCTCTCCCCCCCCTTGGAAACTTTGGGCTTGTCACTCCAGCTGATCCTTCACAAGAGCAAGCTCTCCCCTGGAGGATTAGAGCCCCCCAGCTTGGAGAAGGGATCCAATGCTCTGCTGTGGTGAACCATGAGACCTGACGACATCAACCCTAGGACTGGACTGGTGGTGGCTTTGGTCAGCGTCTTCCTTGTCTTTGGCTTCATGTTCACTGTCTCGGGGATCAAAGGGGAGACTCTGGGAGACATCCCCCTCCTGGCAATAGGACCTGCCATTTGCCTGCCTGGCATCGCTGCCATTGCCCTCACGAGGAAAACGGATGGCTGCACCAAGTGGCCCGAGAACAAATGCCCCTGCTGCAAGAAACCAAAGGATAGGGAAGTCATTGAGCTGCTGAGGACTCCCTCGGACCTGGAGTCGGGCAGGAGCAGCTGTGATGAGTTGGCCAAGAAGGCATACCTAAAGGACAGGAAGGTCCTCAAGGGAGATGACTCCGTGTCCATTTGCACCACGGCAACCACCACTACGGCAGGGGAATGCAAGAGCCTGCTCAGGAAGGTGGACCAAGAGGAGATGCTGAGATACCTGGAGACCTGCTACCCAGAGATGCCCGGGAACGTGTTTGTGGGAGATGGCTCCACTTACCGTGCCTTGGAGAAGCAGTGCTCTTCTCCTGCCTGGGACAGCGCAACCTGCCCTGACACAGAGGACAACATTTTTGTTGCTCCAAAAGACAGCATCATTGTCTGTTCCTACAAAGAGAACAGCCCTTACGACAGATACTGTTGTTATATAAACCCAAATGAAGTCAGCTCGGACCATGAGACCATAGTCTGAAAGATGCACATTTTATAGATATAAACAAATGTACGTACTGATACAAACACTATAACTTCTAGCTCTTATAGGGTAAAAAAAAAGTAGCTGATTGCACTGCATGGGACAATCTTCATGTTGTTACAAATTTAACCTGGTATTTGACTGATGCTCAAACCTTTTGTGCCTGAAATACTCTTTCTGTAAGTAAATGAGCATGTTTAAGGTTAAGAACTCATTCTGTTCTTTGGAAACCCATTTTGTTTTCTTTTTCTCTGTGTTGAAAGGCTGAATGTTTTGTCCAAGCCCCTAGACAAGCTAGCAGGATGAAAACAGATACTGTCAGCTAAAATCAAGACAAGAATCAAAAGTCTGGAGTTCTCGGTATAGAATAATAACATGCAATATGGATGAGTGGGTCTTATGAATAGTGTCACTTCCTTCGTGTCAGAAAGAAGTGATGGAATTCAATGTGCAGTTCAATTAGCTGGCTGTCCAATGTTAAGCTGTTAGAAAGACTTCGCAGTTGAGACTTAGATTCAAGACTGTCTCTAAGTTTGTGCTCTTATTTGGTTTCACAGTACCTTATCTGAGAAAGCAAGAAAGTAAGGCAATAGGCTACTACCTTGAGAAGCTCCTGCTTCAGGGAGTGGGAATAGGATAGGGAAAATGTTCAAAGTGAATCTATTACCAGTCATATATAAAAGGGTCCAGGCTTTTAGCTTATTTTGCTTTCTTCTTATTTAGTAATGAATTCACCAAAGTGTTTGGGAGACATTTGGAATTTACATCTGTATTATAAAAAGAAATTACAACTTGGCCATGATAAAATAATTTCAGTAGCTTTTATAAATATATACTTTAAAAAATATATGCAAACACTTCTCCGATCAGTTGGTAGTATAGGGCCTGATCCAACTTCCCTAGAAGTCACTGATAGTTTCCTATTGGTTGTAATAGTAATTGGCTCAGGGTCTTGTAGAAAGTGTCATCTTTACTCACCTTTTAAAAAAACATCCAGATGTTTACCAGTGGTTTGCAAATAATGCCACTTTGCTCAATATCTTCAAAGTCGATTTTTGAGGGTGCAAAGAAAAAAGAGAATGTTGCAGGCAGACTTTTTGCACAGCCATATTATATACTTTATTACTAGGTTCATTGATCACAGAGCTATAATAATAACGGAACCATTAACTGAATGAAAAAAACATACTGGTGACTCATTCAGAGCTTGCATAATGTGTGCACACATATATGTAATATAAATTACTACACATATTCTATGTGTACAGATGACACATTATGTGATATCTGTAATATTCTACATGTACATATGTATCAGTTGTTTTAGCTGCTAGTCAGCATATATGTAATCTGCACAACCAGTTTAAGGGTTAAACTGTTAGGAAAATTTTTGCTAATGCCTACAGCAATTTGTTAACATTTCACAGACAAAGCCCTGATTTCCATAACTAAACTCTCAATGTAGCTCTGCAAAGCCTTTCTGTGATGGAAGTCTTAATAACAGTTCTCACTTTAGTTATTTTTAATCAACCATAATTTGTACCAGACAGATTTATTGAACTACCAGTGTAAAAAAAAAATCCATCCTTCTCTTTTAGGAGCCTAGGAATATTCTGCAGAGACTGGAATTTTCCATTGAGAATTTATTGAACAATTCATTTTTGCCTGTGAAATCATTTGGAAAGTAAAGGGAAACCTCAGACACCTTGAGGGTCTCCCCATTTGCATGCTGCTTTCAAATTGTTACTGACAACCAGCTCAAAAGAGATTGCCAAGGGTGCGGGGAAGGGAAGATTTCCCAACGTGGGTGTTTGGCTTCTCACTGGTGTATTAGACTTTACAGTTTGTTCAGCTATTTGTATTTCACATGGTGTGCACTGGTGGGCACCACCAGGTGCTGTTAGTACACATAAAACAAATGCAAGCTGGTCTCAGTCAGAAACAAGCAGTTAATATCAATATCCTGCATGTCTTGCTTCCGTGGTGTTTAATTAAGGGATTGCATAAGTAAAAATGCCCTCACATTTGCAAAAGCCAGGCTCTTGGGTTCTCCAAGAGCAAGTTAGTCCCAACGTCTAAACTAAAAGTCTTCAACTAAAAATATCAAAAGATGCAGTCCAGGACGAAGACAGCCCTAAGACTGTTTAAAAGAATAACTGAAAAGACCGTCATCGCTACTATGTCTCCCTTAGAAGAGGTAATATGGCTAATATCCAAATTAGTGCAGGGTAAGGCTGCTGAATTGCCTTCTGCTGCCACTGGACTGAGCCACAGTTGTGGGATGTTATGCAAAAGGTGCTCAACATCATTTGAGATTCAACTAATCTAGAGAGAAGAAATCTATCTGGCAGCTGAGTTCCAAATCAGTCAGGATTATTAGGTTGATAGTATAAACAATCCCTTACATTGCACGAGGTTGCAAGGAAATAGAGAATTCAGAGCACAGATTGTGAGAGTTTGGCAAATATATAAGAATGATGAAGAGGTTGAATGTTCTTTATTTTGGTTAAGTGGTGTCTGCCAAAACAAACATTTTAAAAGATGTTAAAAGGGGTTTCTAAAGGCAAGACAATAAATTCTAGTGACAAATGGCACATCAACGCTTTAATGTGATGCAATCAACAATTTGGAGTCATGGCACCATAGTCTGTTCTTAATGTAGTAGTTATGGATTTGTTATTTATGAAAGCAGAGCTTTATGACTGAATTACCTACTGTTTACAAAAATTATGTTAAAAATTTTGATGATCATGGAAGAAATCTTGGCTCCACTGAAATCAATGCGGCCAAGATTTCACATTATAAATTTGCAGAAGTTTAAGCAGTATTTAGAGGCCATTTTAAGACAAGGCATTAAAATGATTCTTAAGTAAGCACAAATACAATTTTTAAGCCAATGGCACATGGATAAGTGTTCTCTCACATCTCTCTGCTTGACAATCTCTTCCCCCACCTAGTTCAGAAATAGCCATCATGGAGTAGTATGAAATGAGTTTATCCACTGAAGTGATTGGGCTTTTCTCCATTGATGATGGTGGTTTTCATCTCAGGCCCTTAGAATTCCTAGAAATCCTATGCTTGTCCCCAAACAAGCAGATTCTAGGGGCAGCAAAGCTAATAGTGTGTCACAACGGGCGCTGCAGGATATATCCTCCTGGATCAAGGGAGCTATTTAGTCTCTGCGCCCACTCAGTTCTTGGCTTCTCTGGTACCATCAGTCAACACCAGTTCTGGAGCTGGCTGTATTTTAAATCTGGATATTTCTCTACAAAGCAGACATCTTATGGCTACAATCAGTAGCCATTTGAACACCTTTGAACTTGGTGTAATTAATTAGGAGCCATTCCATTGCTTTTACTAGTGTTGCTCCTGCTTTGAATGGATGTGAATTTGTTGAATTCAGTGTTGAATTCATGGATGTGATTTGAACACACAACACCAAGGTACATGCCTCTTGATGTTATTTCCAGCTCAGCAACCAAACTCTGGTTAAAATTTCACTTTATCCTTGATTTAAGTATCAAAACAAGGAACACAAAGTGTTCTGCTCTTAGGGCTAGGTCCTATTCCCCCTTTAAAGTCAATGGTAAAGCTCCCATTAAGTCAGTCGTGTGAGTAGGATATCAAATTGTATTTGTAGAGACCTGGAGATGTATGTATGATAGGTTTATAAGGCTTATAAAATATATTTTTGCACTAGCATTTGCTGTGAACATGTGTACCATAGAATGTTCCTTCCTTTATTAAATAATGTAAAAGTGATGCAAAAATCAGTTATATTCCATAGTTATATCTTAAAGTATTGTTTTGTTTAATCATATTTGTTATACAATAAAAAATTTATCCAGGAAGTTAGACTTTTTAAAAAGCCATGAAGTTTCTGGAAGAGACAATCAGGAAGCATTTTAATCAGCTATGCTTCTATATTAATTTTCTTCTCTGAGCTCAGGTGTAGTTACCTCTTCTCCCCATCATTTTTTAGAAAGCAAATATAAAAACAAGAAACACTGCATGACCCAATCCTGAAAAGTACTGAGTACCCTCCAATTCTCTTGGACTAGATGGACAGTTGAATAGATTAGGATGAGGTTCTAAAGAGCTAAATTGCTATTGCAAGAATAGTTTTCTTTCACCCCTTCATTTGTCATCTTTTCCCCTTCATTCTATGTCCATGTTATCATCAGTCAAATTTTGGTTATTGGAGTAATAGCCAGTTTCTGAAAGCCTTACTCAGGTACAGTAGCACCTCACTCTGAGAGCAGTCCAAATAATTTATAGAAGACTACTCATTCAATAAGGGCAGGTTCAAGGGCAGTGAAAGTAAGGCACACTGCTATGGCTCCAGAAGAGCAAGCATTCAAAGCCTCTCACTAGATTTGTGTTGTTGGTTGTCCACCCCTGTGAATAGTTATATGGTCACAAGGGTCGGGGAATCAAAGGCAGGAGGTTACTGTGCTAGCCACTTCATGAGCTTTTGGGCTGTTGACTACAGAAACATGGTGCCTGGACTGTGCCTGGATTGATGGGACTGACTTATACTATAAGACACTTACTTAGTGTCAAGGTGGAAGAATCTAGACCTACATCATCAGCCTAATTTAGATTGTCATGCTAAATCAGTCTAAACTCAGCTCTTCAGAGCCTGGGCTTTGTATTTTGTGTCTCTGTATAGCACCATTGGACTACATACATTTTACTCAACAATAATAATCAGTGCAAGTGACTGTCATTAATTAGATCACTTTGGAACAAATTTTCAACATGCCTATGACACGGAGTCCTGAGAGGCTTCATCTTTTGAGGTACACAGCACAATTTACCAAATATCTTCAATAATTATTTGAAGTATATTCAACATCTGAGTACTAAGTCCACATTAAATCAGGTCAACAGCAATCCTTATTCTGATACAAGCCAATTTTATCCTCCCTGCCATAAAGGATTTCTGTAGGTTGCTAATAGCGCTATTAAATATAATGGGCGCATGTACACATCACCCTACATCACTGTACAGCATACTATGGTGACATAGCGATGACGTGGGTCTACATGTGCTCACCAGCTACATAACTGTAGCGGCAAAATCTAACTGTGCTATGCACATGACATAGTGACTGCTTGTACTGTGCCATCCTTTAGTACTTCCAAAAGGAAGTGCTAAAACACAGTGACATGTAGATGTGCCCATAGAATTTATTTTTTAAAGAAACTTCATTCTCATCTCGTTGTGTGGGGCTTTCACTGCAGAAGACCTCACACTGGGTTGGATTCTAATCTGCAGTGACTCAATGTGCAAAATGCCCCTAGGAAGATCTATATGTTGTGTTAATGTTTGTATCTGGTATTCCCCATGGGATTATGAGACCTGGGTGCTCTTGCATCTTGAATCTATTTGCAGCAATTACAGAAATCTAGCCCAGGGTACATTTATGATACAGTTAAAGTTTTAGCTAGAGATGCCTGCAGTTACTCTCAGTCTGCCACTACCCCTTCCATGTAGAGAAGCAAAACGTAGGAATGAAGGGACTGGATGGGACCACTTGGACCACTGAGTTAGGGCTCCTGCAGTCACAGACAACTACATTTCTTTTATCAGCCAATAAATTCTGACTACCTTTGCTAATAAATGCACATGAAGGAGGAAGCTCTGAAAGTTATAGATATCACCTCTGCTCCTGCTGACAGATGCATTCATAGATTTTTATGCTTGGGTGGAGTCCCTCTGACTTTAGTGGCACTCCATTTGAGTGTCAGAATCTACAATAGGACATCTGTTCACAAGATTGGGGCCATACGATACATTCACACAGTAGTATGTTTGTTTGAAATAGCTTCATAGCCCTGTGATCTCGACATTCTTAAAGTCTGAGAAGGTTGTAATCCAGAAGCAACCTTGCAGCTCTATATTTGTGCTCCTGAACTTTAAAATTATTTCCATCCCTTAGAAAAGGGGAATTTTTCTCATAGCAACACAGATTTTACTCAATAGCATGCAAGATATGTCCTCTGAAAGATGTGGAATTTCAAAGCTCCAGGATTGTATTATCATAACTAGACATGAAATCCTAGCCCCACTGAAATCAGTGGCAAAGTTCTTATTCTGTTTAATAAGTCCAAGGTTTTAGCCCAGATGTTCAAAAGTGCTTTGCACCCAACCATTGCCATAAAGCACAATCACCCCCAAACCTTACTGGGAACTATGGAAGGTGCTGGACACTTTTGATGATTTGGCCATTTCACTTGGGAGTCAGATTAGGAGCTTTGGAAATCTGACCTTTAATCATAGTCCAAATGAGCCTAGGGCAAAGCTAGTCAAGTGGCAACATCCAACAACTGAATGAAAAAAGGGGATTCCTAGAGGATATCTGGATAGTCCATCAATTTTTTATTATTTTTTTAATTTTCATTTCACTGTGTCCTGCTCTGATTACTTATGGTCACTGCATTCTATATATATATTGCATCCTTTTGGCAGATCACCCTAAAACCATTACTTGAGCTGGGGCAGTTGGGGTGGAGGTCTTCCTGCCTTTACATGGGATGGACTAGGGAAGGCCACATGTCTCACCTTTTGCCATGGTTAAAGAAAAAAATATTGAACCCATCACAGACAGAATGTCAAACAGAGCCCTGCAGAGAGGGAAGATTTTTCAGAACCTTGAAATATTTCATTCCATCCTATCACTGAATCCAATGTTAAAATTTGATGTTCATCAATAAACAACCTCCAGCCTCATATTTTATGTGCCAGTGCCATTAAGGACTTGATCCTATTGACTTTAAAGTGAATGGCAAAATTCCAGTCCTTTCAGGAAGGCAGAGCTAAGCCCTAGAAGGTCAAAATCAGCCTAGTACCATAATTTTGTTAAAACCAACACAATTGGTCCATGTTAGCAGTCTTGGAAACTTGGCACTGCACACCCTGTCATTGGATGCATATAATTCCTGTTAACATAACTGTTAGAAGCACATGTGAACTAGGGGAACAGTTCAGGCCCCTTACTGATAGTGTGAGCTGAGAAGTCAGTAACTGCTCCAGCACAATGCCTCCCACACTGACATGGGCGACTGGTGTCTCCTGAGTCTAGTGGGGCACCCACAGGCACTGCCGTCAGCGTCAGTGGTGGGGCCAGAGCTGGAGAGCTCCTGCAGGCGCCGCTGTCAGCAGCATGAGCAGTGGCCCTGTGAGGGGGGGGCATGTGCCCCTCCCCCACGTGTCGTCTACGCACACTGGGTTGGAGCATAGAGATTGAACAGTTTACACTGATGCCCCTTTATGCTGTAGCTTTGTGGCTTAGCAGAGGGCTTCAGTCCTCTGAGTTTTCAAAGCAAAACCTTCTACAAAGCCCAAACTCACACCATTGTTTCAAACTCTAAAATGGTTGCTTTACATGGGAAAAGATAATCTGAACAGTTTTAAAATGTAGAAATAAAAGATTATGCTGGGGTTGTTAAAATGGATCCAATAACCAGGATTATGAAAGGGAAAGCTTGCAAGAAACATCTATTTGCAAGAAAGCTGGTATAGGTCTATGGATATTGGCTTCTGATAGATTTAAAGGAAACCCCAGAAAGACGTGATGAGAAAAAAGATTATTTCAAGAAGGCAATTCATCAGTGAGGGTCTCTAATAATCAGGAATTTATTGAGGGGTAGAAAACAAGTGATCTGTCTAACAGTGTTATGCCCTAGTTGCCCTGATCTCATGGCTTCTTCACAGAGAAAGAGACAACTTTCCAACTCCTATCAGGTGTTCTTCACTCAGAATTGGAGCCCATTCCTGCACTGTGAAATCAATAGGAGATTTGTTATTGGGCAGGGTGTGAGCAGTCAACCTTGCTGCACAGCCAACATGTTTGAACTGTGCCCTGCTCAGCTGGGTAGGGAGGTTCCTGACTTTGTGTCCTTGCTGCCTGAGCAACAAACTCCTCCTGATTCAGAAAGCTGCAAGTTCCTGCCCTACCTACATGAGCATATTCTTTATACCACAGAACCTCTTTACAAAAACAATAGTAATTGAACATACGGTAAATTTGGTTACTAAAAAATTCTAAAGTTTTGGGGTGGGGGCTGTGTTTTTTAACATTTCCATTGGATTGTTCCTACTATTCTTTAGGCAATTGAGATAAACTTTATTAGAATGTTATTAACTATATTAACTTTGTAATTTGTTTTTTGCTTTGTGCTATTTATTACCTGTGCCCGTGTGCATCAGCATCTGTTTATAAACTGTAATGGGATGGCATTGTAATAAACAGCAATCAAAACTATATACATACATATATGTATATAATTACTGCTTCATAGATGGAGAGTGCTGTTGTTGTTGTCCATACCTAGGATGTTCTTCTGTGTTTGCAGATCCAATACAGAATATAGCATCTTCTCTCGTTCCCATCTGGATGCTAAGAGTGCTTAACTTCCAATGAAACCCCTCTGAGGATCTGGCCCTATCATTAAAAATGTTCACTGTTTATCTGCTTTCAGATTTAAACAAGGACTAGAGATAACAAGGAAGAGGAGGAAAATATTACAGCTCTAGCTAAATGTAACATATATAGTGCCCTCTAGTCTGTCACAACTGTGATGGTTCACAGGTCTGTGTTGTATGAGAATTTTAGAGATTTACAGTATATCACAACATGGTACTTCGTTGTTAATCTGAGTTTTGATTGGTCATTGTGGGCCTCAGTCTTCCCAAGTAAACCAGTGTGAATTTAGCCATGAATTTCAGTTGGAGTCAATGTAAGGTGTATGGCAACATTTCTGCCAAGCCAAATAATTTTTTAAGGAGATTTTATTTTGAGATTATCTATTTGGTGAAAGATATAATAGAACCATCTGGAGTTATGATTTGACAGTAACTTCAATCATGTGTGTAGCCTAGTCAAAAAGAATTTTAATGAAAAAAAGACTATTTAAATTATATACAACTTTTTCTTTTCTTTGATATTTTTTGTATCATTTTTGTCTCATTTCATTTCTACCAGCCTGAAAAGGAACTTCTCAGATGTGTAAAGCTCAACAGGTGTTTAAATGGTTGCAAGGTCAGGGTCCGGAAAATTCCCAGTGTAAGTGTCGGCAGTTGTGTCAATGGTATTGCTTGTGTATGTATGCAAGTCCAGACCTATGCATACATGCACATACATGGCACTAAAAACTAATGCAATCATTACTAGATCATCCCAGTGAGCTAGAAGAGCTCACCCCTAAGCCTTTGTGCTGCTACCAATTTTATTTGTTGTTGTTTGGATGGATAACACCTCTACTGATTGTTCAGCAGCTTATAAGACTTGGTCCTATAAACAGTCAAGGTCTTTGATGATATTACATTCATCAACCATGCCTCTTTTTTGAAAGGTGGCAACCCAATTTTGGACACCTTTATTGACTATAATTGTCAAGTTGCATTAGTTGATCCTGCATATCTACTAATTTACCAGAAAACACTAAAACTTAGATTTAACATTATGTTGTACATCCACTTCCTAGTAGAAAAATATCCACATTGCCAGTGCCATCATCCTAATTGAATGAATCAAGACCCTTTTTAGAAGTCTCAGAAGGAACAAGAATTCGGTTACCCATGAAAATTTCCCTTATCTTTTACCTCAGGGGGTCCATCTAGGACAGCTGAGAGAGGGAAAGATGACAGAGCAACAGAAAAAGAGGTTTGCACTAGCGCTGTCTATATTGTTCCTCTTCTGCAGATAAGAAATGTAATCCAAAGCCCACTGAGGTCAATATGAGTCTTTCCATTTATTTCACTAGATATTAGACCAAGCCCTGGATTGACAGGGCTGTCAATCCAGCAATTTTCATGAGCATCAGTACTACAGATAGTTTACAAAAGTGAAATGACCACACTCCTCACAGATATATAAAAGAACTGTAACAGAGAGCATGCTCATTTTAACATCTTTAATTCTAAGAATTCAAACAAATACAGAGTAGCTGAGTAAAGCTGCAGTACATCTATTATGTACTGCAACTTTACTATACTCACGTATAGTAAAGTTGCAGTACATAATAGATCCAGTGCATACTATCCAGTTTATGTTACCTAAAAGCTGTGAGATCTTTTTTTATATTACTCCTAATACAAAATTTAACACATTGGAAAAATGACTGTTAATTCAGTGAAAGAATAATACACAACACAATGTATGTTGCAACTGTGTAGACTACAGGGGTTCAGGAACAAATGCCACATCCTGATAAATGGAGTTTTTGCTAAGCACCAGAAGCAATCATTCTGAGTGGGATGTTACTGCTATGTGGTTAAATGGGAGTATAAGGTTGAGACTGAATATAAGTTTGTTTTCCTGTACTGGATATTAATATGATATTTGAGCATATACAAATGAAATATTTCAAATTGAATAGCTGTGAAAGCATATTTTTTAAATTCAAGTTTGTAGTATAATTTCACTCAGTAAAAATAATTTCATATGCTGGGTGACATCCTAGCTCCAGTGAAGTGAGTGGCAAAATCCCACTGACTTAGCAGGGCCAGATTTCCCCTTTTAGCATCTTCAAAGATCCCTCAAACTCACTTTGGATTTCAGGAGGATTTGGAATCATAAATCTGTTAACTCCCTTTAAAAACTGCTGCCTACTGTTGCATTTGCTTTCCACAAAAAAGCTGAGTAAGAATCTACAATGTCAGCAATACCGTAATATGTTAAATCTCACTCATCACACAGCATATACTTAATAAAATGCAGGCTAATTACAGTGGCGGCACAAACTGGGCAATTATTCAGTTAAGATTTATACCTAATTAAGTGTACCTATGTGAAGTTTTTGTACCAGACTAGCTAATTGGTTTTAAATCAGGTTAGTTACTCTGCAATTTTTCTACTGTAGACTAGTCCTGACTCAAAGAAAGCTGGCTACCATTTTAAATAAACCTTTAGTCTGACAGAGGGAAAAACACTAACAACCCTAAATAGTATACAACACACACCATACTTTGCCTTTAGGGAAAATAGGGAAAATAGTCACTAACAGAACTTGAAGAAGACGCTCTAGAAGTAAAACCATGTTTACCAGCAGACATAAATTTCTAGCATAAGGTTTCTCTAAATAAGAAGCAACAACCCTGATTACAGTCTCCTAAACTGCACAATGACTCATTAGGTTTTCTCTGATTTCTCAGTGAAACTGCAGACAAACAGCATCTCTTTAACACAAACTTGCCTCCTTCATCCATAATACAACTCGAGTGTCAAACCTTCATTCCAGAGAGCTCCCATAGTTTCCAAATTGGTCCTCAGCTGGGAAATGCTTTTAACAGTCTATCTTGTATTCAATAATAACAAAAAACCACTTGTATAGCATTTTCTGGGCATGAATTTCAGTGTTTTACAAAGAAGGTAAATATCATCATCCCCATTTTATACATACAGAAACTGAGGCACACAGAAGTAAAGTGATTTCAGCCAGCCAGCAAGCTTCTGCCAGAGCTGGGAATAAAATCCAGGCCTCCTACATTCTAGTGCAGTACTCTATGCATTGGGTCAGGGTCAGATTATTTTCCTTCTACTGCACACAGCTAGAAATGTTAACAAATCCACATTTCTGTCCCTCTTGAAACACTCATTACTTTGATTCCATGAGGTTTACTATGACACTAAATAGCAGCTTTACCCATTTTCTCTCTTTCCACCAAGCAGAGTTAATCTGTTGGAATCTCCAGCCTATGGTTTCTGCCAAGTCCAATAATAAGGGTTGTACACAGGGAGTTCCCCAACAGAAGCAGAGAGACAGCTGTACAGATCTGATTCCTGTTGGAAGATCCCCATCTCTGGATAGCTTCTGACACAAAATCATCCATTTCACTTCTTACATCCACACACCTGTCATTGCCAAACATTGCTTTTATTTTATTTTTGTTTGTGCCACAAACCCAGGAGTACTGGTGGTATGGGGAGGCAGCACCTATTCTTTGGCTTTGACTCTGTGTGTGGCACAGAAAGGGAGACTTTCAAATACCCGAGGCCCTTCAGGAACACAAGAGAGGTTTGTCAGATATATCTAACAGGTTGAAAAAGACAAGAAACAGAACAGCCAAACCACTCTCCAAGTCCTTTAAGTTGCACTTGAGAGCGGGTCACTGGGCAAAACTCCAGGAATCAAACTAAAAGTGGTGGGATCCAGCTCTTGAGTCGGTGCAGTCAATTTGGGAGCTCGCTTTTGTCTGGCAGCAGCCTGCTTTCCTTCCAGCCAGTAAGTTACCATGTCTCCTTTTCCCTAGGGAGAAAATAAAATAAGCCAAGATGCAGCAACAGCATCTACCTCTTATATACAGGCTTCCATCAGTAGATCTAAAAGAACTTTATAAAGGTCAGCATCATTATCCTTGTTTTATAGATGGGGAAACTGAGGCACAGCAACTTGCCTAAGGTCAAAAAGCAAGTCAGTGACAGAGCTGGGATTTAAACTGAGTTTTCCTGAGTCCCAGCCCAATGCTCTGCCCACATTACATTGGCCCTATCATCACACTGTTACTGTTATTTATTCCATAATAGAACAATGGGGGGAAATTATCTTTGAGAACATGTCATTGTTTATATGTAACACTACAAATCAAACCAAGACTCATGTGATTATCACAAACTTCTCCCTTAATTCAGTTACAAGACAATTCTAGTTTGTAGTTTGGACTGGACTCATATGGGCTTTTGCTATATCCCATAATAGAGGTAAAAGACTTAAATTAAGTCCCAAAGTCAATCTATGTCTTTATCTTGGACATAAAACATGGTTATAACATATTCAGATCCTGTCCCCTCTATGGACTGCAACTGTGTCAATGTGATAACTGGGCACCTGGAATCAATTGTTTTTGTGGTCTAGATGGAAGTGGCAATGGAAATGAACCATTCACCCAATGAAAAGCACTTGCCACATAGTTCCATCTCGTAGGACAAAAGACCAGAGAATCACCCAAAATGAAAAGATAGGATCTGGGTTTATACCCATCAAGGTCTAGGGGTGTTTAGATCTAACATTCTCATTTAGGACCTTACAAAGAGGGAAAAAAAAGCTAGCTGCAACACCTGGATATGAGCTCTCCCCAAATGTGATTTGTCCCATTTTTTATCACAAGGAGTACATGCTACTGAGCCACTCCCACCCTCATAAATATGGGCAATTAGGATTCACTTGTTCAAAACAGAAGGCTTTTATCACTTTGATTTTTCACTCCACTTTAAAGTCTCGCTTGATTTTCAGTAATTGTGCTAATTAAGGCTAATTCAAAGCCTCTGAGAGATGAGTGTATGAAGGGTTAAAATCAAGGACATCTCAGTGGTATGTACTCCCTTCACATACTTTTTCCTCTAAAAATCTGGACCTACACTGCATATATTTACCTTGATTTGTAAATTCCCTCGACACACTAACACATACTCTCCAATCTGCTCCAACAGTTGGTATGTACTCAAACTGCACTGGATTTTAAGAGCTGAAAAGGGAAAAAGTGCTATATTATTTTAACCATTTACCCACATACAACGTAGTCAGCAATGAATACTGCTTACTATATGCTGCACAGGCTGATATATCATCACTTCGCTTTTTTAATTTCTTTGCTGTCATTTCCATGTTATCTGAAGGGCTCACAGATGAACCGTAATGTCCTGGGTTTCTTTGTGAGGCATCTCAGGACAAATCCATGAATGTCAACAAACACGTTGCATCACATCCTGTGTTTGGTATTATTTTTCTGCTCTTCATAGCTGCTTGGCTGGAGTTGTTGACAAGTGTCTTTTTCATCTCACAGTCAAGAAATCCATATGGAGCTTTATCTTATGGCCCTGAAAAACCAGTGCTTTCTTCATGCAGTCTGTTTTGAACAAAACCTAAATCAACCTCATCCCCGCCCCCTCCATCTTTAAAACTGTGAATAAAAAAAGGGAGAGGGAAGATACTGTTTCCTGCAATCATATATAAAGATATGACTACACAACTTTCCTAATTTAGCCCAGGCGCACACAGTGTTTATTGTTTGGTCCTCCCGAGGAAGAGGGGTGTGACTGAGCAGGAGTCTAGGCAGCTGGACTCCTAGGTCCTATTTCCACTTCAACTGTTAATCCTCTGGGACACTGAGCTCTGAGAAAGTGAGAGAGCAGGAGAACCCAGCTCAACACTCAGCACACCATGGTTGAGTCTTGTAAGGTCAGCGGGTAGGAAAAAAATCCTTCTGCAAACTAGGCAAACTTGGGCTGAAATGCATTATGGGCACTAGATGTTGAAGTTCACCATGACAGACAAGGCTCGTTGGGTAAATGTGATGTCTTTTATTAGACCAACTAAATAGTTGGAAAAATTGTTCTTTGCAAGCTTTCGGGTACAAACACCCTTCTTCAGGCCCAGGGTGTTTGTACCCAAAAGCTTGCAAAGAACAATTTTCCAACTATTTATTTGGTCTAATAAAAGACATCACATTTACCTGAAGAACCTTGTCTGCCTATGTCCTTTGACCAGCACGGCTACAACTAACACCCCTGAAGTTCACAGTGATATTTTGAAAGTCAGTTTTCAGAATGCAAGTGCACTGTAAAGAAACTTGAAAAATTACCCAGTTTTGATACCTCTACAAAGTATTGTAAGTCTGGCAATAGAACTATTTGGCCTTGTTTTCCACATTTAAAGAGAAAATACAAAAACAACAATAAAACCACATTATTTCTTTTAGATTTTTTCCAGCTCTTGGAGCTTAGATCAAATCTAATTTCAGATACTGTTTTTAATTCTCAGTTCAGAAAAATAAAGCTTGCTAACCAGACACCAGGCTCTGGGAGCCTCTGGGAGAAGCTGAAGAAGAACAGCAATCTGTGAAGATTGCTTTGTTGAGATTTCTCTGTCATCACTGTGCTGGAGGGCAGAGTTTGCCTTGCTGTGGAACCAAATGCCCTACTCCCACAGGCTGCTGGCGCACGTCCAACGCACCATGCTGTCAAGTCTCTTGCAGTTGCTGGCGGTCTCCTGAATTCCCCACATGCAAGAAGATGTCACTGAAGAGAAAGGGCTGTGAAAATGGATTAGGATTTCTGCTGCAGATGCAGTTACATGGAGGGGAGGAAGGAAACAATGAACATCCCCTGATAACTGAGACACCCTATCATTGCCTGGCCCACCTGCCCTTCAGAGATCTTAGGATCCAAGACAATCCCTTCCTGGGGCTGGAAGAAGAGTGGATGCTCTTACAAAAAGGGAGAGACATGTACATAAATGTGTGTGAATCATGGGTGCATAATCAGATCCTCAAGTCAAGAAGCCCTCTGGATGGGGAGTTGCTCCTATTTACCAGGGTTGTACCCACAATTCAGGATTTTGTTTCTTTACACTTTATTACACTGTGCTAAGAGCAGCCCCCATGCTCTGCTTTTCATTACCTTCACTGGTGGACTCCATCCTGGATGCGGTGTTCACAGTATCTCCAAATAAGCAGTACCGTGGCATTTTGGTTCCAACAACTCCAGCTACAACAGGCCCTATTTGAGGGAAAGAAAGCCAGGAATTCTGGGAGACACTTTTAATTGACCCCTGAAGCTAAGCTGTTTGAGGTGCCACAAACTGCACACAGCGCGTGTGCAAGTATTCAGCACACTTCAAATTAGACAAAATCTGACACCAGGAGATCCCAATGTAAAAAAAAAGCTATGGGAAAAAAACTAGTGTGCCACTCACGGCAGCAGCATGCACCACCAGCACCGGAGCCTGGCCATCCAGAACCACATGCTGGCTGCTGGCAGCTCACTCTTTCCCTCTTTGCAGCCAGATTGGCATTGCTGCTGCTACAAGTGCTGGCCCCAGCCTCCCCTACCCCACCCAGGACAAATTGCCCTGCACCAAACCCCACACACCTGGCTGTGTGCAGCAGCAAAAAGCAGTGGCACAGATTTTTGCCACAGGAAATGCGTGCCCCTGCATGTGGGGATGTGCCCCATGGTTGCGAGAGACCAGATACAGTGCATAGCTCCTGTCTGCCAGCCACAGCACCATTCTCAGTTCTTCACAAAGGAAAGGACTGAGTAACAGTTTTGGCCTAGCCACTCCCTGCATTTGATAAAGTGAGCTTCAGCTCCAAAACTGAAACTAGCTGGGTAGAAGAGAGTCAGCAGATATCAAAGAGCAGAGATCATAAGCAGAGGAGGACTGGAGTGGAAAGATCACAGGTTGTTCATGTAAGGCCCACAAAACCTTAGGCTGGCTCATACCAGGAAGCATCTGGAATTACAGAAATCAGGAAATGAGCCCTTAGCTGCTGAGGACAGCCAGTAAGCTTTCTGTTCCTACTTATGCCCACTGAATGTTAGTTCTGATCCCCCCAAATCCACCCATTACGCCTTAAGATAAGAATGGTTTGATCTGCCATTGAAATAATGTAAGCAAACCATTCTGTAGACTCTGTGCAGTGCAGAGCTGAGTGTCCCATTTGGTCCAATTTTTAGTCTCTGTTGTTCACCATACACTCAGAAGAGTGGCAAATCATTTTTCAGCCCAGGCAGCCAGGGCATGTGTAGCATCAAAGATATGAGAAAGGCTTTCTGCTTTGGGTAGTGAATAATGGAATAGGTCCAATAAGAAAGAGGCTGTTCCCTGCCTAAATTAGCAGCATTTTTCTCTTGTTCTCTGTGGAACACACATGAGATCTGTCCCTTTCCAGTTTGGCTGGTGAGGTGCTAGTTTACTTAAAACATTTGTGCCAGGCTTGTGATAAGGCCATTTAAAATGCAGCAGCTGCCCCTCCACAACAAGATCATTGTCAAGGTATGCCTTAGGATAGAATGATGCTGCAGTCACTTGGGGCCACAGGTCTTTAGTAGCATCCACAGTTAATGCTGACCTGAGCATTCAGAAGTAGTGCACTATGTCCATGGCTCAAAATTCAGCTCACTCTTTCCCTAGAAAAGGTGCTGTTATAATAATTTTTGGTTTGCCAGACAATTTTTTATTGTGCTTCATCTCCACGTACCTGAGTGGATTCCTGCTCGTATCTGCAGCTGGGTGTTGGGCTTGTGTGGAATCCTGAATGTCTTGCACACTGCCACAAGGTCCAGGGCCATACTGGCTATTTCTCCAGCATGCAGAATTCCATTCTCCTTGGGTACCCCTGACACTACCATGTCTTAAAAACAAAAAACACAATGATCAGCCCAGTCACTATAAAAAAGGTTTTTGCTATGGGATACTAACTCATTTAACCCACTGTTGTGGTTTGGTGATAGATTCCTTTTCTGCCATGTAGGAAACCTGGGTTTGATTCCTTGATATACATATAACTATAGCCATTGAGGCACAGAACATCCAGACTTGGTCTGACCTTTGGATTCTGTCTCAATTGTCTAAAGGGGGGGAGGGAAGGTCTGGGCAGCATCCACTCCTCCATACTCTTGTCTAGGTCCTGGTGACTTCTCATGTGTGAACCATGGTTCAGAAGGATTGATGGTTGCCTATTAATTCATCTAGAAAAGACAGCTTTCAAACTGAAGTGTAGAACTGTGAATGTAGGGTAGTGGTCACCAACCAGTGGATCTTAATCTACTGATAGATCTCTGAGCCTCTTAGAGTCAATCCAAGGCTGGGGTGCGGGGATGAGTGCCCATGCGCATGCACATGCGCACCCAAGCCCAGCAGGTCAGTCTGTGGGGATTAGATTGAGGCTCCCACAGTGAGGGACAGTGCCACAGAGGCAGGAGCCAGGGCAAGTTGAGTGGGTCCCTGGCTGGGTGGGACTTACCTCCTGGGGAAGCATGGCCCCAAATAATCTGTTCTGCCTCAATCTGCACCCCCCTTCCCTCCCCACAGACTTACCTGATGGGCAGGGGGGGAGGGTGTGGCAATGGCAATGCATGGTAGATCTAGATCTTAGGCTGCTTTTAAATGCCAAAAGGTAATCTCCTACTTAAAAAGGTTGGAGACAAAGGTAGGTTGAAGATAAAGTTTGGAGACAAATCTCCTACTTAAAAAGGTGTAGGGCAAAGGCAGCCAGAAACAAGGTCTAGGCAAGAAACACAGCACCATATCCTGAATATTGAATTGTTCCAGTGTGCAAAACTAGACACTCCCCCTACACAGCCAGGAGGGCATGCACTCCCTTGTCAAAGTCCTTGAGGTTGGGGGCAGCTCAAAGGTGTACCCAACTTTAAGGAAATGTCAGTAGGAAATGGCAATGAGGTCATCAGGAGCCCTTTCCCATTTCTTCTGAGGTTGGCTCCTGCTTTGCAGAGGAAGAAGTACTGTAGGATTAGCATTGTGCCTATAGAATCCATGCGAGTACTCTGAAAACCAAATGCTAGGTAAGGTGCTCACATTCCCTAACACGCAGTTGTTCAGCAACCCTGTGGGTGCATCTACATGTGCAATTAATATGCACAGATAAACTCCAGAACATATTGAACATGCAACTGGGAGAAAAAAAACAAAATTCTAGAGCATATTGGGTCCCCTACCAGCCCTGGCTGATCTGACCAGGCTCTACATGCTGCCGAATGGCTGGCTGAGGCATGGGAATGTTCATTGTTGGGGCTGCCTACCAGCTAGCCCCACGCTGAAGCACCCTGTGCCCCAGCCAGCAAGGGCAGCATCTACACTCACGTAGGTTCTTAGACAGAGCGCAGGACCTCCATCTAACCCAGGAGGTGCACAGCCCCACCAGGGGCGACACCTTGTTGGACCTAGTGCTGGCCACGGGTGATGACCTGGTGAGGGGGCTGCGGGTGCTCGACCACCTGGGTGACAGTGATCATTGCCTGCTGGAATTCACCATCCAGCGCAAGGTGGCAAAGGCCTGTAGTAAGGCAGCAGCCCTAGATTTCAGGAGGGCAAACTTCAACAAGCTAAGGAGAATAGTTGGGGAAGCGCTGAGGTCCCAGAGGGGACGGGAGCCAGGTGTCCAAGGAGAGTGGTCACTCTTTAAGGAGACGATCCTCCAAGCCCAAAGGAAGGTAATCCCAACGAGGATCAAAGGGAGCAGGAGGGCACACAAGCCTCCACGGCTCACCAAAAGCATCTGGAATGTCTTCTTGCTAAAAGGGAGGCGTACACCCAATGGAAAGAATGGGTCATCACCAGGGATGACTATACTGCAGTCACTCAGGGATATAGGGGGACAGTCAGGAAGGCCAAGGCAGAGATGGAATTAGGACTAGCTTCCCAGATTAAGGATAATGTTCTTTAAATACATAGGGGGTAAAAAGAAGGTCCCGGGTAATGTTGGGCCCCTGCAGGACGCGTTGGGAAATTTGGTAGTCACACCAGACGACAAAGCTAACATATTTAA